TCCAGCTCTTTCTCTCTTAGGTGATGATACCCATTGCTGTCCCCAAGCCTCCAGGGCACAGCCTTGTGTTTGCCCCGCCCTGGCTAGACAGGAAGGGCTGAGTCCAGCCTGGGGCCAGTGCTGGGCATCCCTCAACAGGGTGGGAGGAAGCCCAAGGGAGCAAGGACAGAAGCGTGGAAGTGGGCAGGCTGCTGCCATCAGGGACCCCGGGAACACTCATGTCCAAGGCAACACTAAGGCCTGCACCTCCTGTGGCCCAGCTGGAAGGGGCCTTAGCGCACAAGGGATTCAGGGGCCATGGAGCCCGACAGCTGGGAGATGGCATGTGGCTGCTGTCCGACCACACCGTTGTCATCCTGGCTAAGCTGCAGCCTTCCGGAGGCTTGCAGGAGCCTCTGTCAGAGCTTCCCACCTAGGCGCAGGGCACTGAGCCCATAAATCCACCAAGGCAGTGTGAGGACAGCGGGGTAGGCCCTGAGGCCGGGCGGCCCAGGCGGCTGCTTTCCAGGATAGAATGTGCAGAATGTGGGGTGCCTGCCTGGTTGCTCCCCGATGGCCTGCCCTGCCTCCCTTTTTGGCCCACCCAGACCTTCAGCTTTATGTAACACCCCTGGAACTGCAGGAGGAGCCCTGGAGGTAGACGGAGCCTGTGGCTCCAGCGGGTCCCTTTCCTCAACCTCAGTTTTCTCCCCAGTATATGGGGAGCAATCCTCCATCCAGAGTAACGATGTGAATGATGTTGTGGGCAGGGAGCAGCCTGGCCTCTTGTTGCAGCCAGCTGCTGCAGAGACCAACAGGTGCCCCTCAGGAACCATAACTGCTTCAACCTGGGGCGAGAGGGAGGTCCTGAGGGGAAGGTGGAGGGGCCTGGACCATACCTGCCCAGTGCCAGGCGCTGCCTGCATGGACATAGTATTTCAGCTTCAGGGCCAACCACCACTGGCCCTGCCTACTGGGGCCCAGAAAGTAGGGTGTCTTGGGGTGGGTGCCTGAAGGAATGGGCTGTGGGGTCATGATGCAGCCACCCCCAGGAACCACTGGGCCCAAAGCTCCCCCTGGATGGCCCTGGAGGGATCATCCAGAGGGAGTTTGTGGGCAGAAACACAGCATGCAGCCCCAAGGGAAGGTGAGCCCACCGTTCTTCCTGCATGCTCAGTGCCAGAACTGGCTGCTCAGAGGGGCTTGGATTCTGGAAAGTGGGAGATGTTCCTGGGGCAGCTGGTGATAAGACAGAGTTCTGGAGGCCTCCATGGCTGCAGGGAGGGCAGGGCTGGGACTACCCAAAGGCCTGGGCTCTGGCCTCTGGGGTAAGCCGCCCTCTTAGGCTGGGGCTTGTGGGGGCCAGTGGCTTTTCAGAGGTGCTGTCCTGCTGCGGATCCTGCTGCCTCCGTGGGATGGTGGGAGGCAGGCACAGCGGGAATTGGACTGACCTGCATCCCAGTCTCCCTCTGCCCATGTCCTGGGGACATGGACGCTTGTTTGGGTCTTAGTGTGCCCGTGTTTACAACAGGACCAACCATCTGAGAAGGAGCTGACTCTGATGTCCCCGAGACCCAGGACGGTGAGTGAGGCAGACGAGCACTGGGCTTTATGACCTCAGACAGGCTCTACTTTCCCATCTATAAAATGAGGATCCCAGACCCAAAGTGCTCAGGGCCCCTATGGCAAGGCAGGAGTTACTGAGCCTTTCCAAGGCTATGGACAGGTATTCACTGAGCACCTGCTGTGGGCCAGGCACTGCTAGAGGGGTGGCTTTCTGCCCTCTCGGAGCTTCTAATCTACGTGGGAAAAGAGAGGTTAAACCAGAGAGCAAATGGCTAAACAAACAAGTGGAGAGGCTGGAGGGCTGTCTGCGGAGGCGGCGTCTGAGCACAGTGAGTGTTGAGGAGGTGGCCCACGAAGCCCTGCAGGAGGAGCCCCCAGGCCCAGGGAACAGCATGTGCCAAGGCCCCAGGAGGAAAGGAGGCTGGTAGTTCTGACGGCCAGGTAGCTGCAGCCTGGTGATGGGGCTGAAAGTGTAACTGTGCCTGGGGCTACAGGTGGTGTTTGGTCCCCTATCCCAGAAGTCCAAATGATGCTCAGTGCACTTCCCTATGGGACAGGGCACTCAGGAGGCCCGCCTCCTCTGTGTGGTGGCCCAGGCTGAGCCCCCAAAGAGTCTGCTAGCAGTACCTGGTGCATGAGCAAATGGAAGAAAAGTAAATTAGGGGCCGGATGCAGTGGCTCATGCCTGTAATCCCAGCAATTTGGGAGGCCGAGGCGGGTAGATCCCCTGAGGTCAGGAATTCCAGACCAGCCTGGCCAACATGGTGAAACCCCATCCCTACTAAGAATACAAAAATCAGCTAAGTGTGGTGGTGTGCACCTGTAATCCCAATTACTGGGGAGGCTGAGGCGGAGGGTGCAGTGAGCTGAGATCGCACCACTGCACTCCAAGCCTGGGTGACAGAGCGAGACTCCATCTGAAGAAAAAAAAAAAAAAAAAAAAGAATGAGGGAATCCTAGATAGCCCCTAACTCACTGCGTGACCTTGGGAACGTGCACTTCCCTCTCTGGGTCTCAGTTTCACTGCTGCGAAAACGCCTTCTCAGTCATCATTCTCCTCTCAGGCAGCTGGGGAGCACTGGGCTTGCAGCAGGCCCTCCTGGAAGCTCATTCATCTTCCCCAGGACTGCCAGGCTGCAGCCAGCACCCTGCTCTGGGCCTAGTAAGGTGGGGTGTGCCGGGTGGGGAACCTGCCCATGGCAGAAGCACACTCCTTCCCCTCTGTCCTGGTTTGCTCTCACCGCCCACCACCGCTTGCACCTGTGAAAGCCTTTCAGCTCTGGTGTCCACTGTGCTCCAACCTTAGCCCTTGGGCTGGTACCAGGAGCCCCCATGCTGCAGGCTAGCGTGCGGGGGAGCCTCAGAAGGGCCCCCAGCCCAGTCCCTCCCTGACTCCTGTGGTGATGGACTCCCCAGACTCTGTGCTGCCCCGTTCCACGTTCTTCAGGCCCGAGACACTAGGAGCTACCTCCCACTCAGCCACAGGCATCCGTTCCCCCGACCCAGGGAGTGGTCTCCTATGCCTCTGGAGGCGGTGGCCTTGGGGAGAAAGGGCAGGGAAGATGGTAAAGAGGCCAAAAGCCAGCGTGCGTCCAGGCTCCGCCACTCCATTAATGGGCAGTGGAGTGTGCCCAAGCCCTGGACTGTGGGGTGGGAGGGCCGGAACGGGGGGTGGGGCAGTGTGTGGCGAGGGGCCAGGCCCGGGCAGCACCGACGCCCCGGTGTGGAGGCCCCCATGGCAGCCAGCTCCCCAGCAGCATCTTTGGTGGGGTGTCCCACAGGAGGGGTCTCTGAGGACAGACCCTAGGAAGGCCGGATCTGTAAGGGCGCAGCACGTAGGCTCTGCATACCGGAGGCCTCTCACTGCCCCTGTCTGAGCCTCAGCTTCCTCTTTTGGAAAAAGTGGGAACAACAGCCTACAGCCACCAGTATGACAGCAAACAAGCTCCCATCAGGACTGGCCTCGCAGCAGGTGGCAGAGTCCGGGGGTACGCCCTGCCCCAGACCTGCGGTGACGCACCTTGTCCCTGCCTCCCAGTGGACTAGCCAGGCTGGTGGGTGCAAGACAGAGGGCTCGAGGCTAGGGGACTCACCATGGCGACCCCCACAGCACAGTCTTCGGCCCCAGCAGACTCCTGCCCTGCTGGAATCACCATGCCCGGCAGGCCAATTCCAGGTGCCTGCTCAGTGCCAGAGCTGTGGGGCTCTGGGGGTGTCCCCTCTCTGACTCAGTTTCCTCAGCTGTCAAGTGGGGATTTCCTGGGGCTGTGGTGAGATGGCAGAAATGGAACTACTGGAGCAGGCAGAGGACGGAGTCCTGACCCTTCAAAGAAGGGCCTCATGAGGGCTGCCGCGGATGCTCAGTAGATGTGTGTGAGGGAGCGGCTCCGCCACTGCTCCATAGGGGATGAATGTGGGTCAGAGCTCAGATCTGCAGGGCAGAAGGCAGGGCCAGCAGCTGGGGTCCCCTTGAGGCCTCCTCCACCCCTGTCCCTAGCGGGGTGAGGGGCTTTGCTGCTTCCTTGAGCAGCAGCTGGAGCCGGTCGGGGCACCTCTGTGCCGCTAGGAGGGTCTGATCCCATCTCCCCCGGCGGGCACTGTCCAGTGTGGAAGCATGCACGTTGTTTAGCATGCCTGAGCCTCAGTTTCCTCTGTGTGAAGTGGGACGAGAACATCCAGCACAGTGTGGGAAGCAGTGGCAGAGGCCCGGGTAGCCAGCAGGGGCTCCGTGTGCAGTGGCTGCAGCATCCAAGCAGGGCCCAGCTAGAGCTCGTGGGAGCTCACCCTCGCCCTCACCTGTGCCCCCATCTCAGCTGTCCCCCACTCACCTGTGCCCCCATCTCAGCCGTCCCCCACTCACCTGTGCCCCCATCTCAGCTGTCCCCCACTCACCTGTGCCCCCACTCACCTGTGCCCCCATCTCAGCTGTCCCCCACTCACCTGTGCCCCCACTCACCTGTGCCCCCATCTCAGCTGTCCCCCCAATCCGTGTTCCCAGCTCACCTGCCCCCCACCTGGGATCAGTCTCCCATTTCTGGCTCCTCCCCCTGCCCTCTCAGCCCCCGTAGGTGCCCTGCATGTCTTCCTAGGTGTCTCCACATGGTGCTATATAGATATTAGAGGAGTGGGGGTCCTGACCAGTGAGCATCCCCCATCACTGGTCCCTAAATTCCCCCACGCTCTCCCAGAGGCCTTTGGGGCTCTGGTGCAAAGAGCACCCGCACCCCAGTGGCCTCTGCAAGGTCCCCACTGGCACCATCTTGAGTGCCCTGCACCCCACCCTCCCCATCTCTGAGCCTGGCCATCTTCACCTGCCATCTGCCCACCCCGGGCAGGACAACAGATGCAGAACTGCTCTCCAGGTGGTGTGCGGTTCCATCACCCTTATCCCTCAACCTTTTATCAGTCAGCCCACCTTGTGGGGGGACCCCGCTGAGGGGCTCAGGAGAGAGCACTGAGGCTGCGCCACTGCCGGTGGCCAGTGTTTATTTATGCAGATAAGCACTGTGTGCCACCAGCATCAGGAACAGCCACAAATCTCATGCGTCTGCCACTCAGTGGCTGGGGTAAGTCCCAGCAGAGCTTCCGAGTGCAGTTATTTAGGAACCGTGAGTCCAGCTAGGACGCGGCAGGTCCACCTCCTGGGGGCTGGAGGCAGGACTTCAGGAGAGGACAGAGAAGGGAGGTGGGAAGCGAGTCATGATTCAGCTCACACGGTGTAGACAGGCTGGGCAGAGGCGGGGGTGGACCACACTGCAGACCGGCCGGATGTGGCTGTCCCTGGCAGTGCCCATGCTGCCTCCTTCTGCCTTCTGGGCCAGCATCACCACACGACCCGTATGGATGATGGTTACTGTGGCAGTCAGCCCCTGCTCTGGGCCACACTGCTGGGGCTGGAGGCCAGGCTCTTAGCCAAGACTTGCTGGGTGACCCTTGGCCAGTGGCTGCCCCTCTCTGGGCCTCAGTTTCCTTCCCTCCAAAGCCAAGTATCCTGAGCTCTGGGCTGTTGGCCCACCCTCAGCAGTCCAGGGCGCTCTTCATCTGGCCTCTGACGCCACCTCCCAGGAGACCACAGGCCCGATGTGGTGGAGTGCAGGGCAGCGGGAGACTCAGCTCACGGAGCAGCTGTGCCCATAGGGACCTGAGGCTGCAGGGTCCCCGGGCTGTCCTGGGCCGTGTCCCCACGGGCAGCAGTGTTCAGGGTCTCCAGCCATCGCTGCTGCAGCTCTGCGGAGGGGGCGCTCAGGTACCAGGATTGCTTGGCCCACTGCAGCTTCCACACATGCCCGGAGTCCAGCCTCTCCTCAGGGTCCGGCACACTCAGTTTGCAGCCGGGGAGAGGGATGGTGCGGGGCAGCCGGCCGTCCTGCAGCAGAGGAGCAGATGGTCAGCGGTGCCTCAGCTTCCCGGCCTCAGGCTCACCTCAGTGACAGGGGCCTCTCCCAGGAAGCCACTCCCAGACCCTTGTAACACAAGGCAGGTGCTGAGCCCGAGGGGCCTGGTGGCTGTGCCTGCACTGCCTTTGTCAACAGGAGGACAGTTGGGGGGACCCACTGGTTCTCCCCGAGGGAGGATATAGGGGAGGGGATGCCTTGCCCCTCTCACCAGACCCCCAGACTCCATGGCCTCCTTTGGGCTCTCTGGCCCCTGGGGAGGCGAGGCAGGACAGGCCAGTCCCTGTGACAGAGCAGCAACTGGGGCTCCAAGGGGCCAGGCCAGGGCTGTGTGGGTTCCTGAGTCTCACCTGACAGGTTCTGTGGCTCCTGGCCACCCTTTGTGCCCCCTTGGCCCACCCCTCCTTGCACCCTGGCTGGCTCTGGGGTCCACCCAGGTGCCAGTAGGTTCTGTCTCCTGTGACTGGGGAGCAGAGGGAATCCTGCGCTGCTGGGGAAACTGAGGCCCCAGGTGACACTGCTCAAGCAGGTGGGCCCCAGCTGGTGGCACAGGCCTGCTGTGGGAGCCTCAGGCCTGAGGCTCTGGGCTGCTGGCCCAAGGGCCTGGGGGCATGGGGACACGTACCTGGCTGCCTCCCTGCAGGTGCAGCACCTGGGGATCCGACGTGGGGATGGCGGCCCACACCTCGCTCCAGGTCTCACCGCTGTCTGACAGCTGCAGGGGGCCGCAGAGCAGGCTGGGCTGGGGGTCTGCAGCGGGTGTCTTCTGGGGATACAAAGACACAGGTTAGGGGCAGTCTCGCCTGCAGCGGTCACGCCCTGTTCTGAGGAGGCTGGGGCAGGGCCAGGGCCACTGCTTGGGAGGAGCTGGCTGTGGAGACCTGGCCAAGGCCTGCACAGAGACGGGGACCAGCCTCACCCGGCTTCCAAGGGTCACTAGAAGCCTGCAGGACGTAGGCGTGTGTGGTATCAGGCGGGGTTTGCAGGCAGGGCTCTCTAAGGGGAGGGTGTCCATATGCTGGGTCAGGACACATCAAAATCACAGGAAAACCCAACAGCAAGTACCTGAGGGTGGGTCACGGGACAGGGACTTCACGCGTGTCAGTTCTACACACACCGTATACATGCGTGTGCATGCACACATAGCACACACACACACCACACGTGCCACACACAGGCCCTCCCTCTGTCGTGTCACTGTTGGAGCTACTGTCCACCATTTGGACATGGCTTAGACACCCCCTGCCAGAGCTGGACCCCTCAGACCTGGGCCCCCCTTCAAGGCCAGAGTCCACCTTACAGGACCCTGGAGGCCCGTGCCCCAAGGACCTGGTGCTCTCAGAACACACCTCGGTATTTAAATTGCAGGCATGAGGGAGCTCAGTGGGCAGAGCAAGGTCCTTCTTCACCATCAAGACCATTCAACGCTCAGTCCTAATAGACTTACATCCTTGACTTCTGAGACCGAGGACCTAGGTCAGGGCTCCAACCACAGCTGTAAGTCAGAGCAGCTGGGACCCTGAAAACACACTGACCCCCCGATCACCTCACTGAGCCTCCACGAGGGAAATCAACACTAGAAGCTTCCCAGGAGACCACAGCGTGCAGCCGGCACTGCGAACCGCAGGCTGTGTCGAGTGCAGAGAAAGGGCGATGCGCTTTTCTGGAAGCTCACGTTTTCTTTTTCAGCTTTCCTGCAACACCCCAGAATAGACTGTGTTCTTGAGGAAAGAATGCAGGGAAAGCAGCAGCCACTCTCAGAAAGAGGAGTGGAGGAGGAACAGAGGAAGAGAAGGAGAGGAGTGTGGGGGAGAAGAAGATGGGGAGGAGGAGAGGGAGCAGGAGGAGGAGGGAGAGGAGAAGGAGAAAGACAGGGACGCAGAGGGAGAGGAAGGAGGGGGAAGAGGAGGAGGAGAAGGGGAGCGGGAGGAGGAGGAGGGGGTGCCTGCCTCCAGGGCCCTGCTCATCCTCTGACAGCTGGAGGTGAGGCAGGCCGAGACAAGGGCAGTGTCTCCCCTCAGATGGGCCTCAAGGCCTGGACTTGAGGGCAGCTTCAATCCATGCCCTCCAACCAGGTGACCAGGAGTGACACTTGTTCCCATCTAACTCCTAGATGCAAATGGTTCCCAAGCCTTGGCCGTGGCTGGTCCTGAGAAGCCAGTGTGCACACACGGGATCTTCCGAGTGTGTTCCCAGCCTGGGGGCCCCACTGAGACACACACACATCTGTCCTGGCCCCAGGACGCCCGAAAGCAGAGGCAGCTGGAGCTGCTGGGCACAGAAGCAGGTGTCTGGAGGCTCTGCCACACTGCCAGGAGGGGAGCAGGAGCTGGGAGCACCCACCTCTGTGCTCTGCTTGGGCTCGGCCGGAGCCTCGGGGCTGGGGCTCTCGGGGGCCACTGGCTGTGTCAGGAAGCACTCTCTGCAGACGCGGCTCTGCCGGCTGTTCTCGGCCTTGAACTCGGAGCACTTCCCACAGATGACCTGCCAAACAGAGGGCACCTGTGACCCCAGCACCCTGGGGCAGAGGATTATCCAGGAAGAGGCCAGAGGAGAGGTGGAGTGGGCGGGAGGAGACTTAACACAGTGTGGGGAGGCGTCAGGGCTTCTCCTTGACGTGAAGGGGGGAATCCTGTCTGAGGGCAGAGAGCAAGGCTGACCCTGCTGGGCATCTGGTATCCACCCTCCTGTCCTGGAGGGTCCAGAGTCCAGGAGTCTGTGTGCATGGGAGGAAGAGTGGGAAGAGCCGCCAAGCACACGGGAAGACACCCCATCACTGGCCATCAGGGAAATGCAAATCAAATTCCCAACCAGAAACCACCTCTCGCCCCTCAGCACGGCTATCTTCCAGACCAACAGTGACAACAGCAACGAAAAGAAAATAGTGTTGGCACGATGTGGAGAGATCGGAATCCTTGCACTATTGGTGGGAAGCAAGCTGGCGCAGCCTCTGTGGGAAGCAGTAGGGTGGCTCCCCTGCTTCCCACAGAGTTAAACACAGAGTTACCATATGAGGCAACAGTTCCACTCGGGGCATGTACCCAAAAGAACTGAAAGGAGGATCTGAAGGGACGTTTGTACATTCATGTCCATAGCAGCGTTATTCACAATAGCCAAAAGCTGGAAGCAGCCTGTGTCCACTGGCAGATGGATGGATGAACTCGTCATGGTCTGTGTGTACAGTGGCATGTGACTCAGATGCATGGGTGGAGCGTGGGGATGTAGCCAAGGAGTGCTCCTCAGTGACTTTTCGAGCTTTTCCTACCCTGGACACTCCTGGCAGGCCCCCTTGTCCCCCCTCCTCTGGCCCCTCCAGCTGCGTCCCGTCGGTGGTCCTGTCTCTCTCTGCCTCGGTCTCCCTCCCTCTGCTGGATCCTTTTCCCAGCACACAGAGGCTCCTGCTGCCTCAGGGCCACCCACACCCACTTCTGCATCTGCTTCTCCTGTTCCATCCTGCCCCGTGTACCGAATATTGCAGAGGACTTGGAGATCCTTGTTCAAACCTTGGGAAATTCTAGTTTGAACCTAAACCTGCGGGCACCGGCTGCTAAGGGACCACGGCACTCAAACACTGAGCTCATATCGAAGGTCTCAGGAGCCACAGCAGCGGGGAGATTGCGCTTTTTAAGTAGATGGAAGGCACCCTGTTCTGGAGTCCTACTTTTACGAGGATTTTATTTATTTTTGGAATTTATCTTTTCTCTATCACTTCTTGTGTGAGGAAGCAGGAATACTGGGCAAACCAAGGCAATGAAAGCTAAGCCCCAGCAGGCTGACATGGAGATGCAGTGACGTCAGTGAGGGCACCGAGCCACCTCTGCTGTGCGGGGAAGTCCAGGTTGGCCATGAGGACGCCCACTCCAAAGAAGATTAACAGAGGCTGCAGCTTCTGATCCTGAGTGGTCACAAAGCCTGAGGCCTAGAGCTGAGCAGGGGCCTGGCCACATATTCTGAGGATGGCTCTTAAAGCAACAGATTCCCCTCAGGTCTGATGGGGAAACCAGGTTTAAGTTAAATCCCCCAATTCTGGAGTATAAACTGGGCCCCAAACTGAGAGTTCTTTAAGAGGTACAGATCACATTTCACACTTACCCATCCATCCTCTACCATCCATTCATCCATCCATCATCCATCCATCCATCATCCCTTCATCCACCCATCCATCCCTCCACCCACCCATTCATTATCCACTCATCCATTCATCCATCCATCCAACCATTCATCTATCCATCCTCTACCATCTATCCTTCATCCATCCATCCATACTTCTGTATGCCATCCAACTATTTGTATATTCATCCATCCATCCATCAATTCTCTAGTCATCCATTTATACTTCCTATATATCCACTTCCATTCACACTTCCATATGCCATTTATCTAACTACCCACCTATCCATCCATCCCTCCATCCATCTCCCCATCCATCCATCCATCCATCCATCCATCCATCCATCCATCCATCCATCTACCTATCCATTCACCCACCTCTCCATCCACTCATCCATTCATCCATCCTTCTACCCACCTATCCATCCATCATCCATCCTTCCAAGGACTCATCCACTTATTCCCCTCCCCCTGCTGCCTCCCACCATGTGGCAAAGGTATGACAAGTAACACCAACTGCTTCAGGCACAAGTTGCTGGCGCCCTTTGGAAAAACACCAAAGAATTCTGTGTTGAGATCCAGTTGCTGACATAGATTCAACTTTAACCTCTTAACCTAAAGATACTTAAATCATCAGTTCCTTCCTCAGCGATACTTTTACATTCAACATTAAGCATTGAATTTTCTCCACTCTCAGGAGAAAGGGCTTTGGAGTGAGGGGAATGGAGATGGTGTGCAGCTGGGGTGCCAGTTGGAGGCACTGCCTCATCACATGGGCCCACCAGGCCTTCAGCACCACTGGAGCGCTGGGGCAAAGCTCCTAGCACAGCCACACCCTTCACCCATCTCCAATACACCCTGCAAGGAATGAGGACTATCATCTCCTTGTTCTCAAGGTCACCCAGCTAGGGGTTCTGTGGTTCCCAATCCAGCACTTTTCCAACCACAAGGAGTGTTTGTTGAACACCAGAGCTGACCAGAGAAAAGTGATCAGATTCTACTTTGGACAGGACAGTTTTGCACTCAAGGGCATCTATATCCATGAGCCAGGATCAGGAAGCTCTTCTGTGCAGGGCTGGTGTGCTGCTGGTGAGGACTCAGCTGCTCTGTCAGAGCAGGGTGGCCTCCTGTCCCTGTCCCCCTCTCCTGGGACTCACCACCCCGCATAGCTTGCAGTGATGCCTCCTCTTCGTGATGGAGTTGAAGGTCTCGCCACAGCTCTTACAGCTCTGCTTCTCCTTGTCACGTCTGGTCTTAGAGGATAGTTTTCTGGGCTCGAGCTACAAGGAGGCAAATAGATGCCATCAGCTTCCGAGTCATGTGTGCACCCTACCCCACACGGCAGTGGAGTGGCAGCTCTCGTGACTGTAAAAGCCACACAGGCTCAAGGCAAAAAGTGGAACATGCAGAAGGGAATGAAGTGAAGAGCCAAGTCGGCCCCGTCCCTCTTCCCTCCCTCACCCCCCAAGCGGCTGCCTGTGCCCATTGCACCGAGTAAAGATTGTAAGTGGGTCAAGATCTTCATGTTTGGAACAACCTGGCCAATGACTTTATCTGGTGCATCTGATAAACTATTGAAAGGAGCCACAGCTGGAGGAACACAGCGCTTACTAGGGTGGGCAGTGGGCAGCACAGCCACGGCCTGCAGCCTTGGGGACAGAGGCACCCCTGCCCGCAACCCGAGCCGTGTGGCCACATGCCTGCTCTATACTGGGCACCGGGGGGCCACACCCTCCAGGCACGCCACATGGATGAATATAGGTGTACACCCACATGCCTGAGTGTGCAGACAAGCATGGCAACATTTTAGGGGGAGGCTGGAGGCAGTGGCTCACACCTGTAATCCCAGCACTTTGGGAGGCTGAGGCGGGCAGATCACTTGAGGTCAGGAGTTTGAGACCAGCCTGGCCAACATGGTGAAACCCCGTCTCTACTAAAAAAAAATACAAAAATATAGCAGGGTGTGGTAGTGGCAGTGGTAGTGGGTGCCTGTAATCCCAGCTACTCGGGAGGCTGAGGCAGGAGAATCGCTTCAACCCAGGAGGCGGAGGTTGCAGTGATGCAGTGAGTCAAGATCGCACCATTGCTCTCCAGCCTGGGCAACAGAGCGAGACTCAAAAAAACATCTGGGAGGACATGTGAGGAAGCCATGAAGAGCTGTACCTCCCTCTGTCTCCTGTTGCCTGAACTGCCTATAGAGGAAGGTGGTGTGGAGGCTGCAGCAGGTGTATCCTGGGGCTGCCCAGCCCAGCCTTGGTTTCCCTGTCTGATTATGAACCGTGCAAGGTGGAGAGACCCCAGGCTCCTGCCTCCTGTCAGCCATGAGACCCTGGATGACTCACCTCTCCTTTCTAAGCCTCAGTTTCCTCACCTGTAAAATGGGATGAGTGACTGGTCCCTGGGCCCTAAGCCTCATCACAGTACATAAAACCGCCACTTTGGCAAGTGGCTAATTACCCTTTTTTTTTTTTTTTCAACTTGTGAATTTTTTTTTATATATTTTTTAAGTTCTAGGGTACACGTGCACAATGTGCAGGTGCAGGTTTGTTACATATGTATACATGTGCCATGTTGGTGTGCTGCACCCATTAACTCATCATTTACATTAGGTATATCTCCTAATGCTATCCCTCCCCGCTCCCCCCACCCCACAACAGGCCCCGGTGAAGCTAATTACCCTTTCATGTTATAGCCTGCAGCCCTGGAAAGGCCTCATCATTTGATGAAATAACTTCCTGGGCTTTTGAAGCTTGGTCCACACCCAGCATTTCCTCTCTGGGGAGGAGGTGCCTCCCTTGAGATACTTTGTTATGGGCGCAGAAAACACCCTTAAGAAGACTTTAGGAAAAGGCAAAGCTATGTCTCCCGTTCCCCAGGATGTCAGAGCTGGAGCTGCCCCTAGAAATGTTGATCTCAGCCTCTCCAGTCAGGGAAACTGAAGCCCGCAGGTGGTGTTTTTCTTTCTTTTCTTTTTTTTTTTTTCTGTTTAAAAGAAAATTACCTAAAATAAGCTAACCATTAGTATAGCTGCACAGAATAAAAACAGGTCTGGGATAGGCTTTAAAATATTACAGTAAACAGAAGGCCGGGCGCGGTGGCTCACGCCTGTAATCCCAGCACTTTGGGAGGCCGAGACGGGCGGATCACGAGGTCAGGAGATCGAGACCATCCTGGCTAACACGGTGAAACCCCGTCTCTACTAAAAAATACAAAAAACTAGCCGGGCGCAGTGGCGGGCGCCTGTAGTCCCAGCTACTCGGGAGGCTGAGGCAGGAGAATGGTGTGAACCCGGGGGGCAGAACTTGCAGTGAGCTGAGATCCAGCCACTGCACTCCAGCCTGGGCGACAGAGTGAGACTCCGTCTCAAAAAAAAAAAAGAAAAAAAAATTACAGTAAACAGAAGTGTGTGTGTGTGTGTGTGTGTGTGTGTGTGTGTGTGTGTGTGTGTGGCGGGGCTGGGGGCCGAGGGGCCGTAAGAACAGCACCAGACTGAGGTGTCTGGAGCTGGGGAGGGACGCTCACTGCAGTTATCCCCACTTGTGTGGGTCCAAAACTGCCATAGGAAAACGCTGAACAACATATACTTAAAAAAAATTTAACAGAAACTCTTCAGGTTCAAGGAGAAAGGGCCAGGCGCCGTGGCTTGCGCACGTAATTCCAGCACTTTGGGAGGCGGGAGGGTTGCTTGAGGCCAGAAGTTCGAGACCAATCTGGGCAACATAGTGACACCCTGTGTCTCAACAAAAATTCAAAAAATTAGCGCCGTGGTGGCATGTGCCTGCAGTCCCAGATATGTAGGGGGCTTAGGTGGGAGGATCACTTGAGCCCGGGAGGTTGAGGCTACAGTGAGTTGTGATCACACCACCACACTCCAGCCTGGAGGACATGACATCCCAACTCAAAAAATAAAAAAAGAAAGAAAGAAAGAAAAAGATGAACTGAACTGGTTGAGGGTGAAGAAGCAAGAAAGGGGTGGCTCAGATTGGGCATAAGCACTGGAGGCTGGCATGGGCTGAACTGTGTCCCCCCGGATTCATATGTTGAAAATTTAATTCCCAGTATCTCTGAAAATGTGACTATATTTGGAGACAGGGTATTTAAAGAGACATTAAGTTAAAATGAGGTCTTCGGTTGGGCACTGATTCAATGTTACCGGTGTCTTTGTAAGAAGAGATGGGGACACAGAGACAGAGAGAGAAGACCGTGTGTGGACACAGGGAGGAAACTGACATCTCCAAGCCAAGGAGAGGCCTCAGGAGAAACCAGCCCTGCCCACACCTTGATCTCAGACTTCAGCCTCAGGTAGTATTTTGTTCTGGCAGCCAAAACACATGGACACCAGTGCCTCCGGGCACATTCTGGCCGGGCACTTCCAGCTGTGTGGCCTGGTCTGTGGTCCCCCTTCACTGGCCCACCTGCAGGTCCCCCAAGCACCCGGCCGGTTTGGCACAGGAACCCAAGGGCAGGGCTGGCTCCTTTGAGGGTGACAGGGACGCTCACTCACTGTGCTGCAGCCCCCAGCACCTCTGATGAATGGGCCTTGTGCCAAAGACACAGGTGAGGCGGCCTCAGCTCCTTCTGCAGTTTTTCTTATGCTCAAGACCCCAGTGGGGGCTCCAAGCACACTAGGCGGGGAATGGGCATCACTGACCTGGTAGTGAAAACCTGTTCTCCAGGTGGGCACCCAGAGAGGCTGGGATTGGTGGAAGGGCGGCCCCGATGTGCACCTCAGCCCAGAACTGCCTGCTTGTGAGGACCCCAGAAGGGGGACCCCTGCCACGGCACCCAGGGGCAGCACTGCATAGCAGCTGAGAATAGCACACGGCATGCCCATGGGGCAGGGGGCAGCAGGGGCTGGAGGAGCGAAGAACAGCCATGTAGGAGGACAGGTACCTGCGGGGCTGGGTGCACAGCAAGAGCTTGGCCTCTGAAGACCAGCGGGGACCAGGTCCCAGTGAAGGGACAGATGACAATCCTGGAAGCAGCGAGTGTGGCTCAGGGCTGGGGCAGTGCCGGGAGTCCCACTGGCTTCCTTTATCTGGCAATTCTTCTCAGCTATGGAGCTGAGCTGAGCACTCGGGGTGGGTCCTGGCCCTGCACCAGCTCCCATGGAGCTGAGGCCCACAGCCCACCGAGGCCAACCCTCCAGCTCCCGTCATCAAGGTGTGGCAGAATCTGTAGGCATGACCCAGTGGCTGAGGGGCAAGAGGCCCACCTGAGTAGCCAGGGATGGTCTCTCGGCCGTGCACATGCCCCTTTGTGGATGAAGTTACCACGCAGGTTGACCCAAAGAAGGGAGCTCAGGTTTTCGTTGTGGATGTCAGGATATCAGAAAAGCTGGGCCCAAGTCTCTCCAGGAAGATGGAGAACTGTGGCTTCCTCAGTATCTGACCGAGTGACTTCACCCCCAAAGCGCCCAAAACACACCAGCGTTAACCCAGAAAGTGGTCTCCACCAAGGGTCAACAGGGCTGCCCCCTCCAGCAATTTTTCTTGAGCAAATTGAGCTGCACATCCAGGAATGGGGGGCACAGCTGAGTTACATAGAATTGGAGCCCAGTAAGTGGCCCTGATGAAAACAAGTCAGTTTCATCAGATACTAGAAATGACCCAGCAGGGGACATGGGCTGTGGGGCACAGGTACTGCCTGGGGCTGTTCCGACAGGAGGGTGGCTGGGCTGAGGCCATGCCCCTCGTGACAGCCTTGCCCTGGAGCCCCGAGGGTAGACACAGGGTGCGGCCTTGTCCCAGGAGGGGCAGTGCCTGAGAAGGAGCAGTGCCTGAGAAGAGGCCCTGGCACTGCCCTGTCGAGGGTGCCCTCTGATGCCTCGCTGGCACCTTGGAGGGGTTCATGTGTCACCCACGGTGGGTCTGAGACCCTAAGAGACCTTCTGGATTCTGACATTTTGTGTTTCTGTTAAGAGCAACTCGATGCTTGCCCATCAGGGAAGCCTTTGAATTCTGCAAGGCCCCTTGCAAAACTTCCTGGCTTGGGCGTAGCTTCTCTTAGGAAAGGGGCTTACAGGGACTATACCACTGAAGAAATCGGGCTCAGGAAGTAAGTTTAAGTTTGGTATACTGTAGCAAAAATCACTGTTGTGGATAAGAGGATGAACTTGCTTTTGAGTGCTTTGTAAAATGCACACTGAGCTCACCTCCATCACACCACATTCACCCTGTGCAGCTCGACGCCGACACTGAGCTGTCCCAGCTCCCACCACAGTCTCAACTCTGCTGTTTTTGCTCACAGGAAGCCACCAGTGAGGAACACACGGCCAGGTCAGGCCACATCCACTGGGGGTAGGGACGCCGTGGGGCCCTGGGCTGGAGCCGAGGTCTGTTGTTCGGTGGTCTGTCGTGGGCCCAGCCCTGGCTTGGTGTGGGTAAGGGACAGAGACAAGAGACTGGAACTGGAATTGTGGCCCTGAGCACCTGGCTCCCTGGGCTGCTGCAGAACCTGAGGCAGCTGGGCCCTGAGCCAGGGGAAGTACAGGGAGTGGGGCAGGCGGCACTGTCCACCCAGCTGGGCGCACCCATGGAGGCACAGCGGGTCTGCTGGCCACAGCCTGGTCCAGCAGATGCCCGGACACTGACTGAGGCCCCGAGCCCCAGTTGCCTTCTCGCCTGTGATGGAAGCAGGGGACCAATAGGGGCATTGCCTGTGTGGCCAGCAGCGCCTCAAAGCCCTGCTCCAAGGCCATCTCCAAGCTGTGTCTTCCCACAAGTGAAAACATTTTAAACCATGGCCTTGCAGGTTCTTCCAGCTAGAACATTCTCCTGTCCAGGCACCAAACCGGGGTTCGACTCCCCAGGACCACACTCAGACACCCTGTGTGGATCCCCTCAGCCAGGCCCGGGCTCCTGCTGTTTCTACAGCCCACCCAGGTCCTGCCCACCCAGGGCCTCCCTCAGCACGTGGCCTCCACCCACTTCTGCTTCCTTGCCTCCCCAAGACACTGAAGGTGCCTCTCCAGGGCCTGTGGGCTCACACACAGGACAGACACACTCACAAAGGACAGGTGGCTCTCACTGAGTCTTGATGCCTCTGCGGCGGGACTGTGACCACGGATGCCTCCATAAGCCTGGCCCAGGGCCTGGGGCTAGACGTGGAGGGTCATCGAGCGGAAGCCAGCCTAGCTCACTCCTTACGTGAGCTGTATGTGTGGGAGGCAGTGCTCTGTGCCAGGACGTCACCATGGAAACCGTCAGGGATGCCTGCCCTGGCTGTGGGATGCCAGGCAGTGGGGCTGATCAGGCAGTGCCTCATACACACGGGTGTGGGCTGTCACGTCCCCACTGTGACCCTGAGATTGTGTGTCCACTGTGGGCAGCTCACGCTTCTGTGGCTGCACTCACACCATGAGGACACATTGCTTTTCATAACTTTCCTTACTGCTCCAGAAAAGGGACTGAAGAGCTCTGAGTCTGGGGCACAGCCAGCCTCTCACTTACTGCTGGCGATACGAAAAGTTGCTGATGGGCGGATTCCCGTCATAGGCCGGGCATGGTGGCTCTCGCCTGTAATCCCAGCTGAGGTGGGCAGATCATGAGGTCAAGAGATTGAGACCATCCTGGCCAACATGGTGAAACCCCGTCTCTACTAAAAATATAAAAAATTAGCTGGGTGTGGTGGCGGCGCCTGTAGTCCCAGCTACTCGGGAGCTGAGGCAGGAGGATTGCTTGGACCTGGGAAGTGGAGGTTGCAGTGAGCCGAGATTGTGCCACTGCACTCCAGCCTGGGTGACACAGCGACACTTCGTCTCAAAAAAAAAAAAAAAGGCTGGGTGCAGTGGCTCACACCTGTAATCCCAGCACTTTGGGAGGCCAAGGAGGGCAGATTACGAGGTCAGGAGATCGAGACCAGCCTGGCTAACACGGTGAAACCCCATCTCTACTGAAAAAAAATATATATATATACAAAAAATTAGCCGGGCGTGGTGGCAGGCGCCTGTAGTCCCAGCTACTACAGGAGGCTGAGGCAGGAGAATGGTGTGTAAAGCCGGGAGGCAGAGCTTGAAGTGAGCTGAGATCACGCCACTGCACTCCAGCCTGGGCAACAGAATGAGACGCCGTCTCAAAAAAAAACAAGTTGCTGATGGGCAGATTCCTGTCACTGAGACATTTTTATCAGGGACCCCTGGGGCAGGCTACGGGGCTTCATAGACTTGGACAGAGCAAACAGCAGATGTCAAATCCCTGGGGCCTGGCAGGGCAAGGGGAGCCCAGGGCATCTCCAGGGAGGGTGGCCAGGAAGCAGGGTGAGGCCAGACAGAAGGAGAGACAAGTGAGAGGAGATTTTCTCCTAGGAGGCCAGGGGACCACTTCCCCGCAGGCTGTCAGACTTCCTCATTTTAGTGTTAATAAGCTGTCCCTGCAGGGTGCCTGTCTGCTCTGCAGAGGCCAGGTGGCTGTGCTTTGTGAATCTGGGGGTCTCTCCTCTTGCCTGTTGGGATGTATTTGGAAGTCCCCCCACGCCTGCGCACTCCATTGTGCCTCTGAAGCACTACATCCTTCCCGAGGCCTCCTGAGTTTCTTCATGGTTTCCCAACGCCGGGCCAGCCCAGATCACGATGGGTGGGGCCTGGTAAAGTTCAGGTCATGGGAGGCGGCAGCCAGCGGCCAGCCCACTTGGACAGACCCCTGTCTGGGGTGGGGCTAGGGCAGCCATCTGGGGCCACGTCATTTCTGAGCCTGCACAGCATAGGGGGAGGCGCAGCGCCTGGAGAATCGCCCTCCCGCATCTGGGTGCAGCAGCCACATGGGGTGCTCCAGGGTGATGTTGCTGTCAGCATTGGTGAGTGCCAGGCCTGGGCGCCAATGATGATGGCTCCAGGTACAGATGCTCTTGGCCCTCATCCTCTTTAACTTCCCGGATTAAATGGAGGAGGCAGGCCTCATCCCAGTTCCTACAGCACATCCCCTGGCAGGCGGGTGCGTGGACACAGCCTGCCTGGCCGGAGCAACACCCTTGTGGGCTGGCTGCCATAAGGCACAAGAGAACACAGACGGGGAGAGGCAGGGAGGCTCAGGCCTCCCTGGCCGCAGCTTGGGGTGAAGGACTAAGCAGTCCTCTGTGTTACTGAGCCTCCTGAGGACCTTGCACTGTCAATACACGCTTTATGGGACGATTCACACATGTTAAGAGCAGAAATGTTCACCTGGAGCTCAGAGGATTCTCACATGTGTGCCCAGCTGTGTGACCACCTCCAACTAGGTAATGGACATCCCCACATTGACAGGCCTCCGCGTGCCTGCCTCACAGAGTCCTCTGCAGTGACCACACAAGTCATCAGAGCCTGGACTCAGACATGGCTTTACCTCCACACACCCAGGCCCCCAGGCACAGTGAGCAGGACAGGCTGGCCCCTCAGTCCTCAGCCTCCAGGAGGCCCCGGTCTGACCCTCCCTCTCCATCTTCCCTACAGGTCATCCTGGTCTGACCCCCTGCTCCGCCTCTCACCCCTGCTGACCGCTGAGCATATGGCACTTACCCCTGCTGCACCTGAACTGCCTTCGGTGGTCACCACAGACTCCAGAGGGCTGGTGCTCGTGATCTGGAAGGGACACAGAGGCCGAGTGAGAGGAGATTCCAGGGCCACGCAGCCCCTGTGCAGCGGGGACAGTTCCTGAAGCCCCCAGCACCCCCGTGCATTGAGGGCAGGCTCAGGAGCAGGAATTCCCAGGCCTAGGATTTGCTGTGCCTTTGGGGAAGCTGCTTCCTCCCTGGGCCTGGCCTGAGCTGGAGGCCTCTCCTAGGAGCATCTGCCAGTGTGGTGGGTGGCTGGTGGGTGATGCCTCCCTTTGGCCCACCCTGATCAGGGGCTCTAATTCACACCAAGTCACCAAGTGAGGAGGGTCCCTTTGGGTTCTCTCTCATCCTCCAGGGCTCTTTGTGGAGAGTCTCTGCAGCCCCCACTTTCTCAGCAGAGTGAAGCTCTGGGCTCAGCCTCTGGATAGAAAGGGCTTGGCCAGCTTTAAGGACAGCCAGGCTCAGTGTCTCACATTCCCAGGTCACCTCCACTCAAGGCAGTCCCAGGACTCTTCCTTTCTGGATGATGCAAAGTTCTTACAAAGTGAATGCAGAAAGCAGAAAAAACCTAGTGGACTTGATACAAATATGAAGTGGATATGGGGGAGGTGGGCTGTGCCAGGCAGACCCATGGAGGTGGTACAGAGGGCAGAGCCAGCCTGGAGTTGGGATTCGGGCCTGCGGGGTCTGGGTCAGGCGGCGAGAGTTGGGGCACCCTAACTCTGAGTCATGCCCGGTACCCCCGTGAAGGCTGGAGCAGAGGGCCTGGCATAGGGCTCAGGGCAGCGTCTCTCCTGGGTGCCTCCCCGGATGTGTCCTTGCTACAGTTCCAACCCCTATGCCTTGTCCAGGGCCAGTGGCTCCAGGGCCTTCCTTGCAGTGGGCAGACATCAGCCTCCTCACCCAATCCTCTCTCCCTGACTCCAGGGAAGCCCTGCGGGGAGAAATGGCCGAGGCTTGGTCCTGGGGCTGCAGCCCTGACTCCCTGGCCAGGCTTCTGGGCAAGGACCCTGTAGCCCTGCCTCTTTCCCAGCCTAAGTCTCCACATGAAATCCCCCTGGGCCCTTGGGGCAGCTCCACATGAGGATGGGGAGTGAGATGCTCCTACTGCTTCCCCCAAGGGGCTCTGAGCCACCATCTCCCAGGGCATGGGGGCACTGGGGGGAAAATACAGTCACAGAAAGGTGTCTGCAGTCATGGGCCATCCTGGGCCAGAGTGGTATGTGGGCAGTGCACCACAGCCCTGTGACGCCGGGTCCACAACCCATGTCACCGAGCTTCTCTGAGACTCAGTTTCCACGGGGATGATGTAACATTCCTTGGTGCATAGGATGCTGTGCAGAAGGCACCAGACAACCAAACAGGTCACGCGGGAGCACTTCCTCCACGGCCACATCCTGCTTTCCTGCCCACCTGGGTACTGACCACGGGCCTGGGGCCCAGCAGGCTGCAGCGGGCACTTAGTGGAGGGTGGGTAGGGGTGAAATTAAGTTCAGTCTAAAGCTGCCATGGAAAGTTGGCCGACGCTTCAAACCATGTCAAACACGGCAAACGCTGAGCTGTAACCAACCCAGCTGCTTCTGGGCTTCACTTTCCCTTTTCTGTCCATACATCCTCTCCGACCACACAGCCGCAGAGGAGGCTCTCTGGACCTATTCTGGTCTCAAGGGTTGTAGGGGGCAGGTGCTGTCCCATCCACGAATAGTTGTTTGCTCAATTAAATTGTTACATTTAATTTGTCTGAAGTTTTTCCTTTAACGCAAGGGAGCGCCCGCTGTCCTGGTCCCTGGTACAGCAGGAGGAAAGCCTGGAGGTTGGGCTGTCCACCCAGACGCCGGCGCCTTCTGCTCTCCGCAGGCAGCCTGTCCCCTGGAGGCCCCTCTGCACCCCGGGCCACTGACTCACAGGCACGTCTGGAGAGAGGCTGGGGTCCTCATCCTGGCTGAAGGCGCCACCGAAAGCCTTGAAGGTCTCACTGTTCTGCTTGTGCTTCTCAATGGTGGCCTGGATGATCTGGACACAGCAACACAACAGGGGGGACCATCAAGGGGTGTGGGAGGACGCTACCCGCAGGAAGGATACGCCTGCCTCTGTCCCGAGGACGGGCCCTGGCGTTCCCGGAACAATGCCCAGGCCACTGGCCATCTCCTTTCCCTGCTACCAATGATGTGGTCTCCCCTTCGAGCTGTCCAGATTGAGGAGATCCACCCTGAGCGGGGAACCTGGCCTGTGACTCCACCAGGCCTGTTCATGTTTATTTGGGGGCTCTCAAACAATAGAATGGGTTGAAAGGCCTGTGACATCTGAAGGTGCTTATGAAGGCACAGTGTGGTCACTGCATCCCTGCAGGGTGCAGCACAGGGCCAGCAGTCCCGGAGGCCAGGGCCCCCACCCTCTGTCCCAACATAAATGGCCTTACTGCTCAATCACTTGGTCGTTTGGTTACTTTACAAGTTTAGAAGCTTCACCTGAATCCATTCTTTCTTCTCTTCCTCTGTCCTATAAAACCAAAACAGTCTTGTATTAATCCAGTCTTGGATACTGACTCTAAATGACCAGCCCTCTCTCAGCCCTGCAGCACACCCGAGCCACGCACTGGCTTGTCAACGCAGCTCAAGGATGGGAAGATTGTCCCCAAGGGCCTCAAAACACTTGTGGCCTGGTGGGGCCAGGTGAGCCACGTGGAGCCCTCTGCAGTGGCTGTAATTCAATGCCTCCTTGGACCATAATGGGTCATTACGAAGATCCCACTGTTGGTGGGCTGTGGGAGAACAGAACTCCCATATATGGCTAGTCAGAGCACAGCCTGACATCACCTTAAAGGGTAGTGTGACAACAGCCACCAAAATTTCAAACAGATGCACTACCCTGTGACCAGCAATTCTACGTCAGCAATCTATCTGATGGCTACAACTACACATATGCAGAAACACCTAAAAACAAAGACACTGCTTGCAGCACCATTTGTGATGGCCAGGTTCAGAAGGAGCCCAGGTCCTCGTCAGTGGGAACTAGCTAATGATCATTAATGGAAAATTATGTTGCTTTAGGAATGGTGTGCAGATATGGGATGATTCTTGACAAATTAAGTGAAAAAGCAAGATGCAGGACAGGTATAAACAGCCATCTGTGATTTAAAACGTAGATACAGGTGCATGTGCATAGAAAATCCTAGAAGGGGCCAGGCGCAGTGGCTAACACCTGTAATCCCAGCACTTTGGGAGCCCAAGTCGGTGGGTGGATCACTTGAGGTCAAGAGTGCGAGACCAGCCTGGCCAACATGGTGAAACCCCGCTGGGGTTTCACTCAAACAAGAAATTAGCCAGGTGTGGTGACGGGCGCCTGTAATCCCAGCTACCCAGGAGGCTGAGGCAGGAGAATCACTTAAACCTGGGAGGCAGAGGTTGCCGTGAACTGAGATTGCGCCACTGCACTCCAGCCTGGGCAACAAGAGCGAAACTCTGTCTCAAAAAAAAAAGAAAGAAAAGAAAATCCTAGAAGAATACTCAAGAGAGGACTAAGAATGTGCTGGGCCTGCTGAACAGGAGGTGGGCAGAGGCTTAATTTTCATCAACTTCCCTTGGTGCTGAAAGGGCCCTGATCATCCTATCGATAGTTTTTCCGATAAACATACAAATTCCAGTCTTCAAGCTTGAAAGTTAACATTTGTTTTATCTGAGTTCCTTCCTCAGTAACCTTAAGGCCTCTCAAAAAAACCATCAAGGGACTGAAACTCACCAGGTCACCACATCCAGACAATGAGATGCCCAGACCCTTTATCCATCATGATTGCTTCCTTGCCCCCCCAGTTCCTGTTTTCTTACACATTGTTACATTTCTTCCCTGCTGTATGTGTCCCTAGTTTTAGCTGGTCAGGGAGATGGATTTGAGACGGAGTTCCTATCTCCTTGGCCAATTAAAGCTTCTTCCTTGGCAATAATCATCTCAGTGATTGGCTTTCTGTGCAGCAAGCAGCAGGACCTAGACGGCACCCTGGTGTTTGGGTAAGAGTACTGTTAAATTTTAAGCCATACATAAATAAAAATATATTGCAGGTTATCCAGTTTAGAAAAAGAAGACATGAGGTCAAAGACATTCACTAGAAACAGCCCGTTCCGTACCGCGTCTGCAGCTCCAGGGACCTTTTCCTTCCCGTTATGATAAATGTATGTGCTGTGTTCGGCTTGACGATATCCTGCACCTGAAGGGGCAAGAACAAAGAACAAAGCAAACCCCAGCTGGTCATTTTAGCGGGTCCTTAACTCCAGCCTCACGTTTTCTGACTTAGAAGTGTTTCCCCGAGGTGGTAGCAGAGGTGAGCCTGCAGCCCCACAGTTCTCAGGGAGAGGGGCGCAGAGGCCCAGGTCACCGTGGCTGCTGCATGAGCTGGTCCATCGGGAACAGCGGGCCTCCTACCCTGCTCAGACACAGCTGCGACCGCTCATCTTCTGTGCTTGGAACTCTGCTGACCAAATCCATCCCCCGACACCCAGCCTGTCAGGTTTCCTCCCCATGTCGCCCCCATCCATCCTCCTCGAAGCCAAGCCATTCCCCACAGGCACCACTGGCACTGCCCCCCTACAGCAGCCACGTCCCCTTAGGATGGAAAGGGACCTGATGAGAAGAGCAAGGATGGCCTTAGCCACCCTGTAGAGTCTGCGCCCCTGAGCAGGTGCGCCCTGAGATGAGATGTAAATAGGACAATGCGTGCCCAGAACTAATGAAAATGGGGTCACTTCTTCACAGAACCACAGCCTCAAATTCCATCCTCTTCCATCAGGATGAGACCACAGAGACCACGGCTGGGCGCGGTAGCTCACACCTATTCCGTGTCTCATTGCAGTGGGAGTTGAGAGGGCTTTGAATGAATGGGTGCTCCAAAAACATTTGCTAAATCAAAATATGTAGTCATTTGCTTAATGCCACCAAAAATCCCTTCTTACCTTGAAATTCTCTGAATTCGGGTTAAGAAATAAAAGACTAACTAGAGAAAATACCTTTTTTTAAGGTTGTTTTATTATTTTTTTTAAGTTATTTTTGAGACAGGGTCTTGCCCTGTCAGCCAAGCTGGAGTGCAGTGAGTGGCACAATCATGCAGCCTTGACCTCCTGGGCTCAAGCAATCCTCCCACCTCAGCCTCCCAAGTAGCTGGAAATAGAGATGTGCACCACCATGCCTGGCTAATTTTTTATTTTTTATAGAGACACAGTTTTACTACATTGCCAAGGCTGGTCCTGAACTGGGTTCAAGTGATCCTCCTGCCTCAGCCTCCCAAAGTGCTAGGATTGTAGGCGTGAGCCACTAAAACTACATGCCTGGCTTTTTACAGTAGTTAGAAGAAACCACTTTTCTAGTGTTTCTCTATAAAAAATCAGTCATGGCTGGGCATGGTGGCTGACGCCTGTAATCCCAGCACTTTGGGAGGCTGAGGCGGGTGGATCATGAGGTCAAGAGTTTGAGAACAGCCTGACCAACATGGTGAAACCCTGTCTCTACTAAAAATACAAAAATTGGCTGGGCATGGTGGCATGCACCTATAATCACAACTACTCGGGAGGGTGAGGCAGGAGAATCCCTTGAACCCAGGAGGTGGAGATTGCAGTGAGCCGAGATCACGCCATTGTACTCCAGGTTAAGAACTACCATTAAAAATAATGACTAACTAGGCTGGGCGCGGTGGCTCACGCCTGTAATCCCAGCACTTTGGGAGGTTGAGGTGGGTGGATCACAAGGTCAGGAGTTCGAGACCAGCCTGGCAAACATGGCGAAATCCCATCTCTACTAAAAATACAAAAATTAGTTGGGCATGGTGGCGTGCACCTGTAATTGGAGCTGCTTGGGAGGGTGAGGCAGGAGAATCCCTTGAACCCAGGAGGTGGAGATTGCAGTGAGCCAAGATCACGCCATTGCACTCCAGCCTAGGCGACAGAGCGAGACTCCGTCTCAAAAAAAAAAAAAGTCATTCTGGACCATGCTACAGATCTGCCTGGAACCCTCCCCCAGCTCCGGTGCAGGAGGACAGGAAAGAGCTCGGGACCCAGGAACCAGGGAAGGGAAGCAGGCCCTTGCCCCAGCCAGGATTTCTCCCTGCAACCCTGGGCTTCATGTTTTTGTTTGTAAATAGGGCCCCGAGTCCCAGTCTTAGAGGTGACAGGGTTCGGTCCAGGTCCTGGTGCCATCCCTACTGCCCCCTGCATCCTCCAAGGCTCTGCAGAAAGGGGAGTTGGCAGCAACGTGGCAGGTGGGCGAAGCAGAGAGGGATGGAATCCTGCCCTTCCGGCCTGGGGCACCAGGACTGAGACGATGCCTTGGTCACAGATGGGGTCTGTGGCTTGGAAAAGCAGGCAGGGGTGCCAGGCTGCACAGAGGTGAGTGTCTCAGCAGCCAGAGCCCGGTGTTCCCAGCCCTGCTCAGTGCCCCTTCCAGGGGGACAGGTTTGAGATGGAGGAGCTCACCCACCTGGAGGCCTGAGATGTCCATCTTCTCCCGGACGCTGAACTTCTGGCCCATGAGCCGCAACTTGGGCACGCAGTAAAGGATCATGCTGTTGAACTGCAAGAGGGATGGCACAGGTGAGGAACGGGAGCTGCCCGCAGGCCACCCCCAAGAGCCCCAGTGAGCTTCATGAGATCTTTTCATTTTTTTTAATGTTATAAAGTGAAAAATATTTTTAAAAGATATGTGCAGTAATTTTAACTACGGTTACATCTTTGAGTGAGGAGACTCTAGTCACTAGCTTTATTTTTGTTCATTTCTATTTTTAAATTTTTAAACCATGAATATGAGCTAATTGTATAATCAAAAAAACTTTTTTTTTTTTTTTTTGAGACGGAGTCTTGCTCTTGTTGCCCAGGCTGAAGTGCAATGGCACAATCTTGGCTCACTGCAACCTCCACCTCCCGTATTTAAGAGCTTTTCCTGCCTCAGCCTTCCGAGTAGCTGGAATTACAGGCAGGTGCTACCACGCCTGGCTAATTTTTATATTTTTAGTAGAGATGGGGTTTCACTATGTTGGCCAGGCTGATCTCGAACTCCTGACCTCAGGTGATCCGCCCACCTCAGCCTCCCAAAGTGCTGGGATTACAGGCGTGAGCCACCACATCCAGCCAAACCAAAACTTTTGAATGAGCTACTGATACATTCACCAAAACGGATGAATCTCTCAAACCCACATGGGGAGCTAAAGGAGCCAGACTCATCTCATGGCATTGATGTGACATTCAGGAAAGGCAAAATTCTAGCAACAAAGAAGAGATCCATGGTTGCCAGGGCAGGGGAGCACTTGCCCACAAAGGGGTGGGACAAGGGAATTTTGGTGGGAGGGGGCCAGTGATCAAACTGTTCTGTAACTTGGCCAGGCGCAGTGGCTCACACCTGTAATCCCAGCACTTTGGGTGGGTGGATCACCTGAGGTCAGGAGTTCGAGAGCAGCCTGGCCAACATGGTGAACCCTGTGTCTACTAAAAATACAAAAATTAGCCGGGTGTGGTGGCACGTGCCTGTAATCCCAGCTACTCGGGAGGCTGAGGCAGGACGATTGCTTAAACCCGGGAGGTGGAGGTTACAGTGAGCTGAGATTGAGCCACTGCACTCCAGCCTGGGAGACAGAGCGAGACTGTGTCTTAAAAAAAAAAAAACAAAAACCAAAAAACTGTTCTGTAACTTGATTGTGGTCACAACTGTATTAGTCAAAACTCAGAATTGTAAAGCAAAAATGAGTTTTAGTTAACATAATTTTTAAAAACTTAAAAAAAAACTTTCAAAGAAATAATTGTTTATTTAAGGAGAATTAGAAGCTAGAGGAAAATAGAGGAGGAAAGAAGAACCATATCTGTTTCTACTGCGCCACGCACCCGGGGTGGGTCTCGAATTACACTTCCATCCCGCCTTCCCCTCCCTCCCGGCCAGGGTTTGGCTTAGGAATAGTTGAAAACATGATTTGCTGCTACAGTTCTCTGTGCTCTCCTGGTTGCTACAAGCTGGAGTCTGCTCAATTCTGGGGAGGAAAGAGGTATTGGCTGTGAGGGATTAAAAAATGAGATATTTGCAGCAAATGGGGAGAAGCCACTGGCAAAAGTCTGGTGTCTGGATGTGGAGAAGCGAGGCTCCCTGTGGCTAGGGAAGGGATGCTGAGGGTCTGAGAGGGAGCCAGAGTCCCAGTAGGAGAGGCCACAGAAGAGCCATGTCCTTGGGCAGCCAGAGCCCTGCTGGCACTGCCCTGGGCTTGAGACAAATGGCAAGGGAGGCTCTGTGGCTGGGCTGGCAGGAGCCAGGCTCACCAGGAAGAGGTGGCGGTCCTGGGCGGTGCCGTTCTTGGCTGACAGCTTCTGGATTTGGCCCTCCTTGATCAGCTCATTGGCCGGGTTGACAATGTCCTCTTCCCCACCCAGCTGCTCGTACACCTCCAAGAGCTTGTGCATTTTCTCCTGCAAGAGACATGGGGCTCAGGCACCAAAGGTCTGTGAAAGTGGCTGGTAACCTAGAGATACGCGGAGCCCTTCCCTGCAACTGTGGCTCAGAATCCAGAGAGGACAATGAGCTACTGACAGGGGTGGGAGGGAAATCAGAGTGATGTTTGAGTTGAGTATTGAAGGATGACTAGGAGTTCGCCATGCAGAACATAGTAACAATGATAAACAGCAACAGAGCTAACCATGCTGTGAGCCAGGTGCTGTTCTACATATGATACACGTTTTAACTCACCTAGTGAGGTGAGTGCCATTGTTATCGTCATTTTACAGACAAGGAAACTGAGGCACAGAGAGGTCAGTTGAGTGTCTGAGACCCAGACTCGGACAATCCATATGTCACCTTTCCCTGGCCATGGTGACTGCTGGGGTGGTCACGTGGGTAACCAGCACCCAGAAGTGTGATGGGACGAGGTCAAAGCTCATGGCCCAGCTTTGAGCCGGATGCCAGTGCAGCGGAAGGCAGAGCTGAGCCTGCAGCAACCTCGACAACAGTCACGTGTCCAAGTCTGGACCTGCCGTGCCTCAGAAGCCCCGTCCTTGGACCTGAGTGATCTCAGCCTGTATACCCTGGAGGCAGGTGGGTTTGGCTGACCCTTCTGTCTCCGGCACCAATGCAGGTAGGTGCAAGTGGGCGCAGGGTGTGGGAGGCACTAGAGGAGCCAGCAGCAGAGAGCTTAGAGGAGCAGACCAGGGTAGGGGTGAGGGTCTTTTGAGAACTGGGGGAATGGGCAGGTACCTGGTATATACACAGGGGAGCTGGCTGTGCACCTGCCCACTACTGGGGGCTGGGTGTGCAGCTGGTGTGTACCGGGGGCTGGGTGTGAACCTGGTATGTACTGGGGGGCTGCGTGTGCAGCTGGTGTCTAATAGTGGAGAACTGTATGCACCTGGCATGTACTGGGAGGGCTGGGCAAGCACCTGGTGTGCAGTAGGAGGGCTGGGTGTGCACCTGTCATGTCCTAGGGGGCTGGGTGAGCACAGAGCCAGTCCATGAAGGGACTAATGCACCTTTAGTGAGTGAATGAATGACAGTAACACTGAGCACTGACACTTCCTGCACCAGGTCCTGTTCTGAGCATTCTATGTGGAGTGCTCCCCCACACCCAGTGGCTTACAGGTGCGCGCCACCACGCCTAATTTTTGTATTTTTAGTAGAGATGGGTTTCACCATGTTGGCCAGGCTGGTCTCGAACTCCTGACCTCAAGTGATTTGCCCGCCTCGGCCTCCCAAAGTGCTGGGAGTACAGCCGTGAGCCACCCTGCCTGGCCTTGCTGAGGCTTTTGAACACAAAAGTTGCCATGGGCTCAGGCCATCTAGGGCTGAGTTCCACGGTACCACGTGGCCGACACTGTCTGGGGCAGGCCGGAGACCGCTTTGTGGGGCAGGACTTGGGGCTGACCCTGGATATGTTGCAGCTCTCACCGTCTTTAGCGTTTTAGGGGTCATGAAACAGCCATTCTCTGAGAGGTGTGTGAGTTTTGGGAGAAAAGACCCGGATTTGGATAATTAAATGAAACTGCCTAGGGGAAGTACCTGGAACATAATGGATACTTAGAAAACAAAGGAAATTCCTTTTTTTTTTTTTCCCTGGTTTTTGTTTATTCTTTTTTTTTTTTTTCTTTCTTTCTTTTTTTTTTTTTTTTTCTTTCTTTCTTTCTTTTTTTTTTTTTGAGATGGAGTCTGGCTCTGTCGCCCAGGCTGGAGTGCAGTGGTGGGATCTCGGCTCACTGCAAGCTCCGCCTCCCGGGTTCATGCCATTCTCCTGCCTCAACCACCCGAGCAGCTGGGACTACAGGTGCCCGCCACCATGCCCGATTTTTTGTATTTTTAGGAGAGACGGGGTTTCACCATGTTAGCCAGGATGGTCTCGATCTCCTGACCTCGTGATCCGCCCGCCTCGGCCTCCCAAAGTGCTGGGATTACAGGTGTGAGCCACCGCGCCCGGCCAGAGTGATTCTTTTAGTCTCCACAGATGCCCAATGAGACAGGCTGTCAGGGCTCCCATTTTATAGATGGGGAAACTAAGGCATAGAGCGTTAAATAACTCACCACGGACACAGATCTATCATAGCAAGGGGCGGGGCTGTCCAGCTCACCCCCCTGGGGACGGGAGTAGAGGAGTAAAGGAGTCACTCGTGGAGCCCCCCGAAGGATGGGGGCGAAGGGCTGGCCCACAAGGGCCCCCTGCCCTCACTGTTGCTCACCACCCTGCTGGTCCCCGCCGGAGCCCCACACTCACCACTTTCCGAATGGCAGCATTAGAGTGGTTGGCGGCTGTGGAGATAAGCTCCAAGGACCCTGCAGGAGGAAGACTGGGTTCAGCCTGGGGCCACGGTGGCTCCATTTTTGCTTGCCTGAGGGGCTCCAGGGCAGCTGCCTCCAGAGAGAGGATCTGTCTCTGCTGTCGGCCTTTCCTATGGTGCCTGGGCTACTCTAGAGGACTGGCCCAGAGGAAGGGGGTGACCCTGCCTCTGACCCTGCAGACACATCCCTTCTGCTGGGGCCAATACCAGGCAGGGGGCTCCCACAATCCTGCAGACGCCTGCCCGGGCTACCTGCCAGCCACACCAGGCAGTGACTGGACCAGGAGCAGCCCCCACCAGCCCCATAAGGCCCATTTCTGGGGCCTAAGCTCTGAACGGGGCCAGCATTTAGTAGCACCTTCCCTAGACCAATGTTTACCCGCATACTTCAAGCAGGGGAGATTTTTCTCTGCCCTCAAAGATACTAAGTCCCTTCCTGGGCTGTTAGGGGTCTCACTTTTTCTCTCTCTTTCTCTCTCTCTCCTTCCTCTGTCTGTGTGTCTCTCTCTCCTCCCCTCTGTTTCTCCCTCCCTCTCCCTCTCTTTCCCCAATGTCTCCTTATCTCTCTCTCTGTCTCCATCTCTCTCCCTCCCCTGTCTCTGTCTCTTTCCCTCTGGTCTCTCTGTTTCTCTCTCCCCTACCCCCACGACCCCACGACTCTCTCTCCCCCTCTCTCCCCACTCCCACAGTTCTTGGCAGGTGCCCCTGTGCCCTCCTGGGAGCCCTTGGCCCCAGCTTACTCTCCGCGTCCTTCCGGTCTGGGGCGTCCTCCGGGAGCCTCTTCAGATAGTCCTTGAGCAGCAGCTCGTACCGGGGGACCCTCTGCACGGGCTCCAGCATGTGGTGCTGCAGCGTCAGGTTTCCACACACCTCCTGCTTCTGTGGGGACAGAGGGAGCATGGGGCACCCCAAGGACACGTGTGTGGACGCCGGCCCCGCCACAGCTTCTGGCCACCACAGCCCCAGGAGGCTGCCTGGAACTGGCTGCCCGGAACTGACTGCCCTTCAAGACATGGCTGGCACAGACCACACTTTACAATGGGGGAAACTGAGGCTCGGAGAGACTGACCAATGGAGCAAGGACTGGAACCCCAGGCTATGGCCCTTGGCCCAGAGCTGGCTCTCTTACATGCATCCTCGGTGGAGAAAATAAATGCCTGGACGGGACTGTCTCCTCTCAAGAGTGGGTTCTCCCTACTCCCCACCCACCCGTGGGCCTATGCAGGGCTCCCTTGACCCCTCTGCTGAGAAATCAGGCAGAGCTTCGCCCAACTCTCCCCACTGGGAATCGGGCCAGGGCCCGTCCTCATGCCTAGAAGCCGCTGGGGAGTCCTCCTGCAGATCGCGCTCGACATAAACGCACCAGTGTTCCAGTCGGGTGCTGAGACCCTTGCACCCCACCCGTGCCCAGCACTGCTCACTGGCTCCCCGTGCCTGCCTCCCACCCTGCAGCACCTCCTTGCTGCCATGTCTCCGTCTGGTACCCGAACCCCAGACACGTGTGCTGAATGCTGCCACCCTGTCACCTCTGTGGTCCCCACTCGGGTCCTCCTGCCCGGGCCACTTTGCCTCTGCCTCCCCCTGACGATGCCCATTGGGCAGCCTGTGAGGGCCTACTGCCGCTGTCATCCTGTCCACCAGCTTCCCCACCCACCTGCCAGCAACTTGAGGGTCTCAACCACCCTCACCCGGCTCAGGGCCCAGAACAGAATGGCTTCCAGCTCAGATGAGCTCAAAAATGCCTGGGATACAACAGGGTGAGATAAACCCAAATCTTCATAAAAGCGACTGTTTCCAGCAACATATTGACATAATCTCCAAGTATCTCCCTACAAGAAACTTGTTTTTATTCTTCCTTCCTCCCTTCCTTCCTTCCTTCCTTCCTCCCTCCCTCTCTCTCTCTCTCTCTCTCTCTTTCTTTCTTTCTTTTGACGGACTCTCGCTATTTTCCAGGCTGAAGTGCAATGGCGCCATCTCAGCTCACTGCAACCTCCGCCTCCCAGGTTCAAGCGATTCTCCTGCCTCAGCCTCCTGAGTAACTGGGATTACAGGCACCCACCATCACACCTGGCTAATTTTTGTATTTTTTAGTAGAGACAGGGTTTCACCATGTCAGTCAGGCTGGTCTCGAACTCCTGACCTCGTGATCTGCCTATCTCGGCCTCCCAAAGTGTTGGGATTATAGGTGTGAGCCATCACACCTGGCTGAAACCTTTTTTTTTTTTTTTTTAATGGAGTCTTGCTCTATCGTCCAGGCTGGAATGTAGTGGAGTGATCTTGGCTCACTACAGCCTCTGCCTCCCTGGCTCAAGCAGTTATCCTATCTCAGCCTCCCGAGTAGCTGGGATTACAGGCATGTGTGTGCCACCACACCCAGCTAATTCTTGTATTTTTAGTAGAGATGGGGGGGGGTCTCACTATGTTGCCCAGGCTGGTCTCGAACTTCTGACCTCAGGTGATCCACCCACCTCGGCCTCCGAAAGTGCTGGGATTACAGGCGTGAGCTTCTGCGCCTGGCCAAGAAACGTATTAATTGGGGGAAAAACCCAGCTTCACCTGAGGAGTCCTGGCAGACACGCCCTTAATCAAGTCAATATCCCCAGGACGCAGAGACTGAGCCACCAGGCAGAACGCAGGGAGAAGAACACAGCCTCACTCTGGGAAAAGGCACAGCCTCAGTCAAACTGGACAAACAGCAGAAAAGCCCAAGCAGGCAGTCTACAAGTAGCTAGCCTGCACCCCTCAAAAAGACAAGGACCTAGGCCTGCTCCAGACCCAGGAAGCCAAACACAATCATGAGAGCAATGTGCAGCCCTGGGCTGGGTTATGGACCAGAAAACAAGAACGTTATTGGGACAATCGGTGACATCTGAGTGTGGGCTGCGGAGTAGACAGCACCAGGACGTCTGTGTAAAATCCCCGATTTTGATCACTGAGCTGGGAGTACGCAAGAGAATATCCTTGTTCACATTTAGTGACAAAGGGTTACGGTGTCTGCAACTTAGTCTCGAAACGCTCAAAAGTCATCATCATTTGTAGGAGTTTAGAGAGAATAATAAAGTAAGACTATTAACAAAATGTTAATAGTGCATAACAATTTGGCATTTTTGCAACTTTCCTGTAAAGGTTTAAAGTTATTTCAAAATAAAAGTTTAAAGTTTAAAATATGCTTCGGAATAAAGGAAGGAAACCTGCAAAAGGCCACGGGAAACTTGACTTTGTCACGCGATCCTGTTTTGTCCATGCCAGGGCTTCTCACCCTGGGCACTATGGACACTCAGGTCAGAGAATTCTCTGCAGTGAGCCATCCTGTCCACTGCAACGTGTTTTGCAGCATCCCTGGACCCACCAGATGCTGGGCGCACCACCAATGTCTGCAGATATGGCCTGGGATCCCCGGGGGGGCAAAGTCACCTTCAGAGAATGGCTGGACAGTACTGAGTCCCGGCGGAGAGCCCTCTCCACAGCCTGCCTGGCCCTGTGCCCAACCTGCCTACAGTGAGGGGATGTGCAGACCAGTGGCTGGCCTGCAACCGGGACCATGTCTGCCTCAAGTGTCCCCAGGCAGACATCATCCAGGACATGGCAGTGCTGCAGTAGCTGCTGCAGACGTGTCTGCATCCCAATCCAGAAAGTGTCTAGCCTCCTAAGGGTTTGCTGGACCCAAGAACGGGGTCTGCCAGGGATGGACAGAGGACCACAGCCTGTGCCAGGAGAGTGACTGTTCGCTGCACCCTGGAAGGGCTCATTCAAGCTCGACAGCACACACGTATCATTACGCCACGTGGCCATGTGACTAATTTCACTGTCTCAGTGTCTACATAGAGTATGCCCTTCCCTTAATTCATTCTGAAGCCTAGATGGGAGTTGCCAGCTTGATTGGCAACCCGGGAAGAAAACCAAATTAATCCGAATTTTGTGTGGTTTTTTTTCTTTCTTTTTTTTTTTAACGGTGGGGGGTCTGGGGGACAGAGTCTCTCTCTGTTGTCCAGGCTGGACTGCAGTGGCACAATCTCAGCTCACTGCAACCTCTGCCTCTCGGTTCAACCCACTGTCCTGAATCAGCCTTCAGAGTAGCTGGGACTATAGGCTTGCCACGCCCAGCTAATTTTTGTATTTTTAGTAGAGATGGGGTTATACAGTCTTGGGTAGTGGGAAATGCATTTAAAAATAAGCTTTACATTTTAAGAAGTGGTGAGAGGAAGTACTTAAAAATAAAAAATTCTGGGCCGGGCGTGGTGGCTCACACCTGTAATCCCAGCACTTTGGGAGGCCGAGGCGGGTGGATCACGAGGGCAGGAGATCGAGACATCCTGGCTAACACGGTGAAACCCCATCTCTACTAAAAATACAAAAAAATTAGCCGGGCATGGTGGCGGGCGCCTGTAGTCCCAGCTACTCCGGAGGTTGAGGCAGAAGAATGGTGCGAACCCAGGAGGCAGAGCTTGTAGTGAGCCGAGATCGTGCCACTGCACTCCAGCCTGGGCGACAGAGTGAGACGCTGTCTCAATAAAAGAATAAAATAAAAAATAAAAGATGGGGGAAAATAATCTGTGACATGCATGAGAGAAAGCAGTTGATGTTCTTAGCATATAAAAGCCTTGTGAATCAAGAAGAAAGAGACCAACCCTACAGGAGATAAGAGCAGCCAGGGCTATGAGGAGGCTGTTAGCAGAAAGCGAAAAAGAAAAAAGCAATGTAACATATAAACAAAAATGCCTGCACTAGATATCGAGGGACACTGTGGAATCAGACTGTCCTTTGAATTCAGGTTCCATCAGATAATAGCTTGTGATGCTGCAGCTTGCACAGCCTCTTGAGCCACAATTTTCCAATGGGAATGCTGATTCGTCTCTGGGAGTTATTGTAATGCTCAAAGCAACAACAGAGCATCTGGACACATCTCATAATTTTCCTAATTTTCTCTATGTTCCAAAATTTCAGTAATGTCATATATTACTTTTTGGAGTTTATATATATATATATATATATATATATATATATTTTTTTTTTTTTTTTTTTAAATAAAACACCGGGCTCTGTGCGTCTTGAGAACATCCATGTCCACACTCCCGCTGCCCGCCTTACCTGGATGCTGTGGATGACGTCCTTAAACAGTGGGGAGCGCTGGGTCCACGTGCTCACCAGCCCCACGGCTCGGTCAAAGTTCTTAACGTACTCGCCGTACATCTTTAGGAATGGGGCCAGCTTCTGCAGGATGTCCCCGAGCCGTGGGTTTGTGTCCCTTCGCGGAGAAGTGAATCATCAGAGAAATAGCTGGGTGCAATGGGGGCTCCGAGGTTAGTGGACATGAACTCCACCAGGGGAGTGTGGGGTGGCGGCCAGCTCTGTGTGATGGTGAGCAAATTGGTCACCCTCTCTGAGCTTTAGTTTCCTCCCCTATGTCATGTAGAGTAGAAAATAGTTAACAGGGCAATTAAATGAAAGGTGCCTGTAAAACAGTTGAAAGCGCAAGCTGCAAGCTTAGAACCAGTGCCCCAGACACAGGAGATAGCAGTAGTAGCAGAATCACCTGAATGATGACCCACAGCTATCAAAGAGAACCAACAAAATACCATTATGCTCCTTTTAAATGGGCAAAGATTAGAAACAATGGTTCTATTCAATGCTGGCAAAGTCCTGGGGAAAGTAACTCTTTGTAGTACTGATAATGAAAAAAGCTGCTTTGGACAGGGATTTGCAAATAATTTTCAAGAAACAGAAACATATACTAATCGTCTTTGTCCTTAGGACTGTTTCAAAAAGAAAGAAAAAAGCCACCAGCACAAAGCCATCACTGAGGCGTGACTGAACTGCACTCATACATTTAATTTAAAGATCCAAAGGGCAGGGTGGCTAAGTCACCGGACCCCTGTGCTGTTATAAAAGGAGCAGAGGAGGTCACAGGTGCGCTCATGAGTTAGCAGTCTCCAGGGCCTTGCAGGAGAAAACCTGTCTCTAGCAAGCATGGATTTTGTCAGCCAGAAGGCCGCATCCAGTCCTGACTGCCTTGGGGACACAATGTAACCTGCTCGGCAGCTGGACCATGTCCTTGTACAGATTTATGAATTGACATAGTGCCTCCCTGAGCAACAGGTGAAAAGGCTCCCCCTGGCTTCCCATTCCAGCCAAGCCTCTGTGGTCTCCTGGGCTGCAGCTTGGAGAACAGGCTTGTGGGACACAGAAGGGCCTGGCTCCTGATGCAGAGGGAAGCCGGGCCTGCGAACGGGGCAGGCAGCAGAGACCCTAAGTCAAACAGCAGCTGGCACCCAGAATGAGGGGAAAGGTAACACGCAACGTGGCGAACTGATGAGCCTGGGGGCCACGCCTAGGAAGTTTCATGAATTGTGACTTGCACTGAGCTGTCCCTCTGCTAATGAACAGAAGCATTAGTGGGACGGAGGGACAGGCCCCAGGGACAGCAGGAGGAGGATCTGATGTCCACTGTTGAGGGGGAAAAACAGCATTTTTAAAACAAAGGTGGAGTATAAGCTAGGAGGGAAAAGAAAACCAACTAGCATTATCCACTGTGTGGTGTTTCCAGATGTCAAACCTCATTTTAGTTTCAGAGCCCCGAGGGGGGCGTTAAAAGCCCTTCATTCCGCATCATCTGCTTTCTCAGGAACTAAGCCTTGGAGACCGTAAGTGGCCGGTCAAGGTCACCAACCAGGAAGGGGTGGAGTCTGGACCGGACCCAGACCGTGCAGAGAAGGGAGGCGTCCAGCCACCATGGGACAGTCCCCCAGCGCTTGCCTGGCTCTCAGGCACATGAACCCAGGTCTAGAGACCACTTGAGGGGCCCCACGGGCATCCGCAGACGGTACTCACCACTCCTCCGTGATCCGCGTCTTCAGCTCCGGCAGCAGGAACTGCCCGTGGAAGCGGTGGATGGAAGAGATGTTAGAGAATATGCCCGTGATGACTTCTGGAGGGATCCCCGCATCCGTCAGCCTGGTGCAGAAAACCTGAGCATAGAGAAGCCCACGTGTGGCCAGTGAGCCTCTTCCGCTGAGCACAGCTGCGTCCCGCTTCGGCCACAGGTGAGGGCGCTCGGGAGGGGCCGCTGCTGCCACCTTGTGTTTTCTTAATGAACTTCAGAATTATTGTCCTCCCTTTTCATCGAACTGGTTCAGACACTCTCATGGTCTTAATGCAAGCTCACTTATGACTTAGGAATGTGGGTGCGGCAGGGACAGTCCCCTGAGGACAGGGAAGGACATCTTTCCTCAGCCACCTCTCACGCGAAATGGAAGGTTCAGACTTCCTTTTCTATCTCCTCAGATAAAAACAGCAGCAGCACCGTCTGTCAAAACCCCGGCTTCCACAGGTGCTTTATTTCCTGAGCTCATAAACCCCACATTGTCATGTGGATAGGGATGAGTGGCAACCCCTGTCCCGACTATTTATGCAGAAAAACATCCAGAAGCCATGTACATGCTCAGATCATGCAGCTGCCAGAATGAAATGTCCCACAGGTGACTTGGCAAAGCCTTTTCCTCAGAGCCATAAGCACTGAAAACAAAAAATAAGTTTCTAGGATGGGCGTGCTGGTTCACACCTGTAATCCAGCACTTTGGGAGGCCGAGGCTGGTGGATCACCTGAGGTCAGGAGTTCAAGACCAGCCTGACCAATGTGGTGAAACCCCATCTCTACTATAAATACAAAAATTAGCCAGGCATAGTGGCATGTACCTGTAGTCCCAGCTACTCGGGAGGCTGAGACAGGAGAATCACTTGAACCCAAGAGGCGGAGGTTGCAGTGAGCCAAGATCTCACCACTGAACTCCAGCCTGGGCGACAGAATGAGACTCTGTCTCAAAAGAAAAAAAAAAAAGTTTGTAGACCAGACTTAAATTTGTCTGAGTTTTAGTATTTAAGTCATTCATACTGCACCTGTAATGCCCAGCCAATGCTAAGAGATACTGAAACTGCCAACTGAAACTCTGGGAGTGGACTAAGGTGGGCCCCCAAGCCATGTGGGCTACCTGGTCCAGCAGGTGCAGCCGCCTCACATAGGTCTCCTCGGTGTGCAGGAGCTCCTGGGCAATGTGGAGAAGCTTCTGCGGGCCAGAGTGCTGTGGAGAGAAGAGATGCAGCTCACCTGGGGAAGATGAGTCTTGGGGAATCGGCACCTAACAGGCTGCCACTGTGTGCAGGAGAACCAGGGACCATGGGGGCGGCAGGAGGCCACAGGGGCAGGAGCGGGGACAGGAGGGGGCCACTGTGATGGCAATGTGGTGCTCAGTTCTCATAGATGATATTCGCATGGAAGATTTTGGGAAAAGCACAGTAGTTTCTGGCAGTCCCCCAAAAGCCTCTCTAGCCCAAAGATAACTCCACCCTCCTGGGCCTTTGACTACAGAGCAGTTGCAGCAACCACCTCAAAATATATTGGAGAGCAAAATAAAATTAGCTACAAAGAAACAGAAAAATGTAGCCCAATCAAAGGAACAAAATAAAAAACTCCAAAACTGATCCTAAGGAAACACAGATCTATGAGCTGCTTGAGAAAAAAAACATCTAAATAGTTGTCATAAAGATGCTCAATGAGATAAAAGAGAACAGATAGATGACTAAAAAACAAAATCAGGAAATGATGCATGAACAAAGTGAGAATATCAACAAAGAGACAGAAACTATTAAAAAGGACAAACCAGACATTCTGGAGCTGAAATACACTTTAACTGAACCGATAAATTTTTAAGAGGGGTTTGACAGCAGACTTGATCAGGCAGAAGAAAAAGTCAGCAAACTTGAAGAGAGGTCATTTGAAATCAGAGAGTCAGATAAGAAAAAAAAAAAAAAAAGAAGAAGAGCAAGGAGAGCCTAAGGGATGTATGGGCCACTATCAAGTAGATCAATATATGCACATGTAAGTTCCAAGGGAGAAGAGAGAGAAAGGGGCAAAGAGTTTATTTACAGAAATAATGGCTGAAAATTTCCCCAATTTGAGGAAAGCAATGGACTTAAAAATTCATGAATCTCAAAGACCTCCAACTGGAGTAAATCAACAGAGAACCATATCAAGACACTATATAACTGTCTAAAGTCAAATATACAAAGAAAATCTTGAAAGCAGTGAGAGAAAAGTAATTTGTCTCACATAAGGGTCTTCCATAAGATTATCAGAGGATTTGTCAGTGGTAACTTTGCAAACCAGAAGGTAGAGGGAGGATACATTCAACGTGCTCAAAGGAAAAAAAAACAACTGTCAACTAAGAATATTGTATTTGACAAAACTGTCCTTCAAAAATGGAGAAACAGGCCGGGCGCGGTGGCTCAAGCCTGTAATCCCAGCACTTTGGGAGGCCGAGACGGGCGGATCACGAGGTCAGGAGATCAAGACCATCCTGACTAACACGGTGAAACCCCGTCTCTACTAAAAAATACAAAAAACTAGCCGGGAGAGGTAGCGGGCGCCTGTAGTCCCAGCTACTCAGGAGGCTGAGGCAGGAGAATGGCATAAACCCGGGAGGCGGAGCTTGTAGTGAGCTGAGATCTGGCCACTGCACTCCAGCCTGGGTGACAGAGCAAGACTCCATCTCAAAAAAAAAAAAAAAAAAAAAAATGGAGAAATAAATACTTTTCCAGTTAAACAAAAGCTGAGGGAGTTCTTTACCATTAAATCTGCTCTAAAATAAAAAAGATTAAGGGGTCCTTTATGTTGAAACAAAAGGATGGTAAAAAGCAACATGAAACCACATGATAATATAAGGTTCTTAGTAAAGGTGAACACATGGATAAATACGATAATTTGTACTATTGTCCTTTTGGTGCATAGAATTTAAATTACAAAAACATTTAAACATTTAAGTCTATACGAATAAATAAAGATGAACTCATGATATCAATAACAGTAGGGAGAGGGAAGTAAAACTGTAAAAGAGTTTTTGCATGTGATTGAAGTTGTTATTAGTTTAAAATAGAATGCTATGACTTTAAAATGTTTTAAGTAATTGCAATGGTAACCACAAATAAAATTATCTACAGATAAAAAAGGAAATGAGAAGGAAATAAAACTGTATCACTACAAAAAAATCAATGAAACACAAAGAAAGGCAGTAAGAGAGTAAAGGAGGGACACAAAAAACCTATAAGACATACAGAAAACAACCAAATGGTCCTTTCCTATCAGTAACTACTTTAAATGTAAATGGATTAAACTTCCCAATCAAAAGACATATTGGCGGCTGGGCATGGTGGTTCATGCCTGTAATCCCAGCACTTTGGGAGGCCAAGGTGGGGGGATCATGAGGTCAGGAGTTTGAGGACAGCCTGACCAACATGGTAAAACCCCGTCTCTACTAAAAATACAAAAAGTAGCCGGGCATGGTGGCACACACCTGTAATCCCAGCTATTCAGGGGGCTGAGGCAGGAGAATCACTGGAACCCAAGAGGCAGAGGTTACAGTGAACTGAGATTGTGCCACTGCACTCCAGTCTGGGCAACAGAGCAAGACTCCATCTCAAAAAAAAAGAAAAAAAAAGACATAGTGGCTGAATGGATTAAAAATAACAGCCTCCAACTATATACTGTTGACAAGAGACTCTCTTTAGATATAAGGACACATATAGGCTTAAAGTGACAGGATGGAAAAAGATATTTTGTGCAAATGGTAACCAAAAGAGAGCAGGAGTGGCCATACTTAGATAAAATAGACTTTACAGCAAAAATTGTTACAAGGCTGGATGCAATGGTGTACACCTATAGTCCCACCTACTCAGGAGGTTGAGGTGGGTCACTTAAGCCCAGGAGTTCGAGGCTATCCTGGGCAACATAGTGAGACCTTGTACCAAAAAAAAAGAAGGAGAGTGACAGCAGTAAGATGGCTGAGTAGAAACACCTGGCATTCCCCTCATCCCAGGAAAAGACGAAGGCACAAAAAACTAAGCTTTGGCTGGCGCTGGAGTGAGTGGTGGAGTAGAGATGAACCTGTGATGACTGGGAGAGCAGTGTGGAGGCACCCAGCCTCTAGTGGTCCCATCTCCCTCCAACCAGATAGCATCTATCCAGAGTCAGGAGGGACATTCCTTTGCAGGGAAAAAGTACAACACGAGAGAATCCCACATTCCTTGCAAGCCCCAAGCCCAGTTTGGAGAGCTGTGAGAATTCGCCAGATAGGACAGTGGGGGCGGGCTCACGATCGCACTTGGGGGAGGGGGATACAGTAGAGATCGAACACTCATCGGAACCCGTCCTAAGATACAAAAACTGCCCATCTGCCTTCCCAGCACCGGGGCTGAGCAGGAGGGGGACCGGGGGGGAGCTTGCAGTGGTGGGTCGGCCACTGCCTCCAACCCGCAGGCAACTCCAAAAAAAAAAAAAAAAAAAAAAAAAAAAAAAATGCCCCACCCCCCCCAAGCACCCACTGTGAACCAGGCTGCTGTGGCATGGCACCATCCTGAGACCAGAGCCACCTCCAGAGTGCTCCAGGCAGTAGCTACTGTACCTCTCCAGCATTGGGGCTCCATCTCCATTCCACAAAGACCACATGAGTGGTTGAATGCCACAGCCCCAGCTGCATAGAGCTTGGGCCCAGGATCAGCTGTGACTCTGTTCCTGCACAGCAGGGAAACCAACCCTCACTGCCACACTTTCAGCTAAAAGAACAGTCTGCCATTCCAACCCAGGAGGAGCTCAAGCAATCCTCCCAGCTATTCTTCAGAAAGGAAGGAGGAATAAAATCTTTAACCGACAAGCAAAAACTAAGGGAATTCATCACCACTAGACCAGTCTTATAAGAAATGCTCGGCCGGGCGTGGTGGCTCACGCCTGTAATCCCAGCACTTTGGGAGGCCGAGGCAGGCGGATCATAAGGTCAGGAGATCAAGACCATGGTGAAACCCCGTCTCTACTAAAAATACAAAAAATTAGCCGGGCACAGTGGCGGGTGCCTGTAGTCCCAGCTACTCAGGAGGCTGAGGCAGGAGAATGGCGTGAACCCGGGAGGCGGAGCTTGCAGTGAGCCGAGATCGCACCACTGCACTCTAGCCAGGGGGACAGAGCGAGACTCCGTCTCAAAAAAAAAAAAAAAAAAAAGAAATGCTCAAGACAGTCTTATATCTGGAAGTGAAAAGACAATAAACACCATCGTGAGAACATGTAAAACTATAAAACTCACTGATAAAGCTGATACACAAAGAAGGAAAGAAATGAATCAAACCTTATCACTGCAGAAAACCATCCAGCTACAAAAATAAATAATGAGAGGAGGTAAGTAACAAAAGATATACAAAACAACCAGAATGCAATCAATAAAATGACAGGAGTTAAGTTCTCACCAATCAATAATAATCTTGAATGTAAATAGATTAAATTCCTCCATTTAAAAGATAAACTAGCTGAATGGATCAAAAAACCAAGACCCAACTATATGCTGTCTACAAGAAACTCCCCTTACCTGTAAAGACACACATAAACTGAAAGTCAAGGGTGAAAAGACATAGTCCATGTAAACAGAAACCCAAAACAAGCAGGAGTAGCTATACTTATATCAGATGAAGAAGACTTCAAGTCAAAAACTATAAAAATAAACAAAGAAAGGCATTACATAATAAAGGGATTAATTCAGGAGGAGAATATAATTATAAATATATATGCACTGAATACCAGAGCACCTAGATATAGAAAGTAAATATTATTAGATATAAAGGGAAAGATAGATCTCCAACACAATAATGGTTGGAGACTTTAACACCTCATTCGCGGTATTAGATAGATCATCTAGACAGCAAATCAAAGATACATCAGATTTAAACTACACCATAGAACAAATGGACCTAACAGACACTTACAGAACATTTCACCCAACAACTGCAGAATACACATTTTTCTCATGAACACATGGAACATTCTCCAGGACTGACAAAATATTAGGACACAAAACAAGCCTCAAATTTTTTTTTAAATCAAAATTATATTAGGTATCTTATCTTACCACAATGGAATAAAACCAGACATCAATAACAAGAGAAACAGTCAAAGCTATATCAATATACGGAAATTAAATAACATGCTCCTGAATGACCAATGGATGAAGGAAGAAATTAAGAATGAAATTTAAGGGCCAGGTGG